GCGAAACTTCGAAACACATTCGGCGCAACATAGTTTTGCTAAATATTGCTCCATTCTGCTTTACCATGATCCTATGTACTTGATCCCTTCCGTGCGTCTCGGATTAGCAGACCCTACAGTAGCAGCAACTGCGTTCTTGGCCAATCCAGGGTCTTCGGGGGTCTCCGAGTCTCTGGGCGGGAGGCTGAGAAGTCTGGGCTTAACCAAAAAATGGCAATGGAGACTTTCACGATCTAAAGAGCTTCAGCTATTTGGTAGTTTCCCAAAATAGGGGGACCCCAATATAGACCCTAATTTACCATAATCCTTTTTATGGGAACCCCCAAAAAGATACCCCTAATTTTGGTAAAGCCCCATTTTGCTTGCACCTGTCATCAAGGCAGCGGTCCTTGATTGAGCCCGCCTTTAAGTCGTAGGGCCGTGCAAAGTAGGTCGTAAACCAGCTTGGCCTGAGATTTGTTTAATAGCGCCCTGGCACCATGCTTGGTGGGAGTTGTAACTGCCGCAGCCATTCAACAAGCACCACAATAGGGATTTAGTAGGGGTTCGCACAAGACTTGCCAACTGAAAGCTCCTGCTGCACGTAAGAAGCCTCAGACCTTGTGCAATGGGCCACACAGGATGTCTACAATGCCCATGGCCACTCCCAAGTAGATGATTAGCAGAAATTTGAAGAGCTGCATGCGTCCCTGCTGTTGTTGTTCACAACCTGGAGATATGCCCCTGAACATGGCCGACATCATGCCAAAAAAAGCATGCCGTAGGTACAAGAAAGCCCTAGCCATGCTTCAAAGCGCTACCCAGCCCCAGTGTCACCGCTACTGCACCAGCTTCTGTTGTTGCTGGGTACTGTACTAGAGTATGCACCATGACATCGGTCAAAACAAATGCAATCATTGAATCAGAGCCAGACATATTTATCGAAGTGGCGTTTTCGCAGTGCCACCAATTGGGCCGCCTAGGTTCCGCACGGGCGTACAGCAACATACTAATTACATCTGATCACTGCCAAATGTGCATCTGCACTGCTGACTAATAAAGCACCCCAGACTAGGCCTGTATTTTCTGGGCCAGATCAGGGGTCAAAGACTGCTTTAAAGGCAGAACTGATTCTGTGCTTAAAGATCCCCTTGAACTGATGAACAAATCCTGCAGGTTCAAGCTGTGAAATTCTAAGAGTCCAAACCCTCAAATTTCAATTCCATTTGGGATCAGCAAATCTTTTTCTATGGATTTCGGCATTCAACTCATTCTTCACTAATTGTTCACTATCAGGCAAGGCGCCCTTACTAGTCAACAAAGATTATCGCTGGGCTCACATGTGCACGAACGCGTCCTCTCTTTTTATGACTACTGAGCTTGTTCCATTTCTCATGCCCCGTTAGTCATTTCTACGATGGCTAGTACTTTTGCTAGTGTTCTTGCCGTTGTGGATGGAGCTTTTTATCTTGAAACTTGCGGACATGCTGGGGCGGCACGCGTGGAGGCCGCACCCAAGGCAAAAGTAGGCCTGCCACACTCATCATCACCACCACCCCCAAACGTCACCCTTGGTGCTAGCCTGTTCTTTAGTAAGCACCACCATGTTGGCACCTGCCATCAAGCTGAATTCTATGCAAGGGGCCATGCGTAGCAAGCATATGTTCAGGCAGCTGAAAAGCACAAGGACCGTGATCAGGTAGTGAAAGCCTTTAATGGTGCTGCGCGCCCCTGCTGTTCTAGACTTCTACATTACCCCTTCAAGTTGGCTCTGTGCAAGTTGTCGTGGCACCGCCTTGCGCAGCCAAGGCTCACATGTCCACCATGAGTCCAGCCACGTGGGACAGAGGTAGGTAGGAGAGAAGGCGCTCCTGATGCTTAAGCACTTGATTCATCACAGCACACCGGACAAGGTTTGGCTTCAGGGCTTCGGATGTTGATTCGGGACGCATGGTTAAAAGGAAGTAGATTCAAGGTAAATTCGGGCCTTCTGCTTGGGGTTGCTTAAGTTGCCATCATCTGAAGGAGCTTTCGTAAGAACATCCTGCTGTCTCTGCCCAACAGGCAGGGATTCTTGATGAAGCATTTTGAATTGGGCAGGAATATCTCCGTGGGCAAGCAGCTAGATTGGGCTAAGATGGCTTAGAGGTGTGGGAACCTCAATAGCTGAGAGGGTCTTGGGTAAAACATTCGGGATCCAGCGTTCTAACAACCCAGTCGAGCTGGCGCTGGGGACCAGCAAAGTCCAGCATGCAAACTGCAGCTTGCCGGAATGGCACATTGCTTTTGGGATCCAGCAAACCAAAAAAGCCTGGCATCCCAAACCCCTTATTCAGTCACAGTCCGAAGAGCTCAAGAGGCAATTTCTTGGATCCCGCACCTGAACAGCTGAATGGCAAAACGTTCTTGCCATCTACCACCCAAACCGTGTGCGCAGCATAACCAAGCGGGGAAGAGCTCAGGGATCCTGATTCAGAGAAATCTGCCAGCATGCAAACACAACCCACCCAAGATGGCAACAAACCACCGGGGATCAACAATCACTGAAAATGGAACCCAGCATGCCAACAGAATGGCAAGAACAAAGGGATCCAGCACCTAACAACCGTACAATCCGCATTTCATGAAGCATCCGATCCAAAACCTTCTGCTATGTGAGTGTCGACCGCCAAATCTAGTCGGGATTGAAACCCTTTACTCTACATACCCTAGACGCTCCACACACAATCACAAATTGAACTTGCATCATGCATGCATGCATGCACATACATACATGTATGTATGTATGTATGTATCCCTATGCCACTCCGAGCATGGAAGGCAGCCTGCTCTTCGTTGACTGACAGGCCGTGGATGGGGCCCACGGTTGACCTTGCTTTGATACGCTTTGATGGACCCTTCGTAAGGGAAGATCGAAAGCTGCTGAAGAACGTTGATCTTCCAAGCTTCACCAGATCACTTGGTGAGCACGCCACTCGCAGAGATTGGGGATTCCAAAAAGAGCAAAGATAAGTTAGGGTTGCCACGTGCCTGGCCGTCTGGTTGAGACAAGGCCCCCAACACAGGTCAAACAAAAACCAAGCCATACCGGCAGCCAGCGGGCCAAGGACCGAACCCCTTAAACTACTTGTGCACCAACATCTGCAGTCAGCAGAACTCATCTTTTGCAGAGCATCTGAAACACAGAGCTGGCGCAGAAGAGCACAGTATCCTGAGTTGTCCAGGTGGTTTCATCAGCTTCAGGAAGCTATGGTGACCAAAGCCCGGAAAAACATGCGGGTCAGCACAATGCTTTCATTGAATGCCGTCTTGCGTGCGGTCCAATGTCGTGTTCACCCCCCGCCCTCCTCAAGCAAACTGGTGCAACATTGCTGCTACCTGACAAATGATATCATGTGGCCCCATCGTATACTCTGCCCTCAACTGCTTCCGCTCCAAAATCCTGAAACTCCAGACAGCCATCCTTGCGAGCTAACCGCAACCATGACACATGAATGACATACTGTGGACACGAGTCAAGCAGCATTCTCCTTCGTGCTGCCGACATCTCAGGAACTTGTTCAGTTATGGTTGTCATTATGGCGGCCATAAACAGCTTAATTGACTCTGCCCACACGACATCAAACTCCGAAAGGTCACAGCTGCCAGTGGCAACCTGTGTACTCCTGCCCCCACTAGGCGTCAAACTCCGCCAACAAAAATGTCCTCTGCACACCCTCTACTAACGTTGCACACCTCCGCTGTAACATAAGGTGCCTACAGTGGGCGCTGAAACTGTGACTGATCACTCTTGCAGCTCATTATCCCGTTGGCATGGCAACGTTTGCTTAGGAGCCAGGGCTCATGTGAGAGCATCACAGCCTTGGGCTCTCCAGTGGTACCAGAGGTGTACCTTGGCAACATGAATTCCACATACTCACCGCACCAGGAGGGGGACGTAGTCACCACTTCTATGACAGGGAAGCACTGCAAGCAAAATCGAGGCAGCACTTACAGCATGACACTGGTTTGTGGGGGCTGACCATTACAGGGCAATTGTTTATGTCATATGGCCAGTGTCTACGGACTCGCCTCGCTCCCAAATTCTTCTTTCAAGTTGCTCAGCAACATGACTCACACATCTCAACCTCCCGCGATGCCCTACGAATAAGAATTCCAGACGTTCTATCAGAGTCATTCTTGGAGAACGAGCCGCAGCCCCTCCCTTTTCCAGCAAGCTGCACCAGAGCTGCGCAATGTGCCGGCGACAGCGCGTCTGTCCGTGCGTTGAGCTCGCTGTCGGGTTCCTTCGCGTGAGTACTTCAAGAGATGTTGTGACACTCTCGAACTGCCATTCTGGTTCACAGTACACCTATTCAGCTCGCTGCCCACCAAAATAACCAAAAAACAGGAACCTTTGCAGTTGGATCCAGTCAAGAAAAGTGGCCAGTCTCTTCGCGCTTTACAGAACTTGGGGACAACATCTACTTCTCACACAATATACACGCCTACATGCATACAGTCAGTGAGTCAGCCAGTCCGTCAGTCGTCGATTCGTTCATGCAATCCTTCATTCATGCATACCTACAGATATACAGTACATGCATGCATGCATGCATACTTACGTACAGCACCATGCCACACAATATGGTAAACTTTTACTTACCATACGATGCAATCACACAATTCCATACAGTGCATGCATGTGCGGATTTCACATGTCAGAAGGGAAGGCAGCCTCCCCCTTTGGGAGTCTCACAAACCAAATTGTGGGGTACTCGCCTACCCTTTCATGCTTCTTGAAGTCCGGATACATGCTCAATGCAAGGTTTGCTGAAGTGTGACTTTTCAAGACATAAAGGTCCCCGCTGCACATATGACTGCAAGATGTGCAGTGTAGTCCTTACCCCCACAAAGCGGAATGATATTAAGGCAGGTCAAATCAGCAGCGCTGGGGCTCGCAGTGCGTGACTTCTGTTTGACGGCTTCACGTGCCTAGCAGCCTTGGAAGCTGACGGCGCTGTACCATTGTACTCTAGCTATGCATGCTTTTCAACAAGATAGCGCGACATCTGTTGCACAAAAAAAATACCACTGGGAATGGACACACCTTTCTATAGATTTCCGTATGCCAAGGAAGCGCGGTGCCTTCTCGCCCAGGTCCGTCAGGGCTTGCCAGCTCAAAAGCTGCCGTTTCTCACCCTGCCAATTGGCAAGGTGAGGGCGTGAAGCGGCCAACTCAAATTGACGTTGGTAGCCAAACTGGATATGGGAATCAGGCTTAGCTTCAGTTTCCTTTCCTTGCTTTCTGGCTGCTCTAGCTGTTCAGCTCGATGATGCTTCCAGAGCTGTCCAGCCAAGGCCGACACATATTACACATGATAAACAGATGACACATAACTAGTAACTAATTCACCATCATTTTTCCGCATGAATCTGTGTGAGATGCCACGGGCTTTGTTCAAACGCACTCGGTAGATCCAACAGGAGGGGCCCAGGGGCCCTAGGATTTTTAGTGGCCTAGGGATTTTCAGGTTTAGCATGCTGAACATGCTCGCAGTCTCTACTTGCTCTCACTTTTCTGCGCAAAACTGGGTCCAGGTGCCCAAAACTCATCCAAGGGCAAACTCTGCTACGACGATGGCAATAACGACGACGGCAGCCACTACCATTACTGCCCGCACATATGATGAAAAATCTTTCCAAACAAGACAGTTGACCCTAAATTGTGACCAATTTCTTATTCAGGGTGGGGGGCCTGCAAGGCTTTGCATGGATGGGGGCTGTGGGGGGTCTGGATTGTTTTGGGCGGAGGGGGCTTAGGGAAGTGAAGCCGAAAAACAAACTTTCCTATCAGCTGCGGATAAGAGCAAAACACTCTGGAAATTTCTTGACGGTGTAAGAGCGGGTGGCGGTTGAACTTATTGGGGGTAGTGCCACGCTGCAACCCCATGGTCTCTGGAATGAAAATTCCCACACATTTCGCATACTCCCCTCACCGCCCTGTGCGCGGCGCTTAGGGCCGTTTCCCTTGAATGCGCATTGAAGGGACCCACGGCCCCCACCCCGCTACACTCTTTGAAAAAGCCACCCAAAAACTGCTCCCCAACGCCCCCCCCCTTGCACTCGAGCAACCCTTCACCCTTCGCCGTGCCTTACACACCCAGAACCATTTCTCCTTTATGGCTGAAAGGTTCGTCCTTGAATTCCCCTAACCTCACTCCACCTTTTTCATCCCTCCTTCCCTGCTTCAAAATCCGTTCGGCTGATCCGGCTTGACTGATAGCGCTTGCTATTAAAAGGTGTTCAAGGATTATCCTGCTAATAATATAATGGCTGGACATGATCCATGGGCGAGCCTGAAGCTCGACCTCACTGGTGGCAGGGGTAAACCCGTAGGCCACAAAAGCTTTCACCTTGGTCTCTCCATGGGATCTGGAGCTTGAGGATTCCTGGACTTGGAACAACATGAAATAACCACGCACCAAAGCCAGTGCCTTGCGCACCCAAACTACGAAGCACATGGGGAGCGCTTTCATCAACAGCTAAAGTCGTCGCACAGGAGTTGCATGAACAACAGGACGCTTGCGTCCGCTACTCCTGCCCCGTATGGTCCAAGGGGGTCTCGCGGAAACTGAGCCTCCAACTCGTGCCTTCTTGGGATCTTTGCGCTCGTTCAGTGCTTTCACCAACCTCCAGAAGATGTTTTTGGAATTGCCCGACTTGCCATTATCTCTCTTAGCTGCTCCATGCTAAATCTCATAGCTCTCAAACTTTTTTCTACCAGGAGCACGACCAGACTGATCAGCAAGGACTTGGACTTCCAGCGACCCCAATGCAAAAGTGCTGTGCTCGCATTTCATGCGCCCAGCTTCCATATAAAGAGTTTTCGGTACGCAATGTCCCCACAATCACCCCTACGGGCAGCTTGCGTAATCCAGAGACCATGGCGATATAGTCCCCATGCCATCCATTCAAGGGCTTCACTACCTGGCACCCACACCTCAAACAAGGCCCAAATCACACTTCTGGTGAAGTTAAAGCTACGCGGGATTTCTTTTTGAGGTGGGGGCGTAGGGAGGGCGCAGCACAGTCCTCCATGAATCAACCGAGGCCTGTCCAGCTTATTCTGGTCTTCGATGACGACAACCCCTGCCTGTGCAGAAGAAAGGACCAGCGACTACTGTGCATGGAAGGCTGCCCCCATCATTTCCGGGCCTAGAAGCATATCTCCCCGCTGGAGGACAATATGGAACTCGCTGGCAAGCCCAAACCAAACCGTCAAGCGGACCACTTGCGGCGTAACTCTTAAAGTCCTGTCAAGGCCTCTAACACCTGCTGGTTGAACAGTTTAAATAAACTCAAGATTGCTTTGGGCGTCTGACTTCTGACCTGCAAAGTCCAGAGCATGTAGAGGGACATCTGAACACAATGATGTAGAAAGCTGAATAGCTAGGCGGCTTTCGATTCTCTGATGAAACTCAGAGCCATGAAAACTTAATGTCCTCAACCCTTTCTCACCGACTTGCAAAAGTCAAGGCAAGTCTGGTCCTGAGCGAGCATATTGTGAGAATCAACACGCGTGCCATCCTTGTGACTTCCCTCAGCTTATCCAAACCCTTGAGACTTATTATTATTAATATTAATATTATTAATATAGTATATTGGGGTTATATTGGAATAATGGAAAATAAAATGGAAACTACTATAGTAGGGTTATATAGGGATTATTCTGCATGCTTGGGCAGGGGCTCCACTGTGTGCCACTTTGTACGCAGCTGTGTCAGGCGTGTCGGTGGGGTAGAGACCAGCGAGCCTTGCAATGCAGCGCTAAAATAGCAAGGCGACTGTGCTAGGAAGATGATGCAGGGCTAGGCAAATTACAAGGTGAATGGTGTAATGCCCTCCCTCCCTTCGTGCAAGCCGCCTAACAGATAGCAAACCCGGAGGCCTGAAATCCTAGAGGACAGTGCTAAGTAGAGGACATTTCAGTAATGTTGAGTCGGGGCCAGATTTCCATGCCTTCCTAGACTCGTCTTGCTCTAAGTAAGCGCTATAAACAAATACATCAACATGACAGTCCAAAAGTAGATACAATTGGAATTGTGGATGTCTTAAATTTCAATCATTTGGGCCTATACTTATACTGTGCAATTCTTGCAAAAACACTGTTTGTAAATTATTCTGGGGAAAATCTAATGATAACTCGAATTCCCAAGATTTGCGTAGGCTTTCTCGTTCTTCTAGAGTAAGTCTTCCATAAGTAATGGAACTTGAAGTATTCGCAGTTTACTCAGGTCATGAATGTGAGCGCATGCAATTGAATTCAGACGAAAGATTTCCTAGATTTGATTTATAGCGACCTTGAATTTAAAAGCATTTGGGAGAAACCGGAATTCGCCCTGGGATGGGGGAAGACGTTTGTGATCAGGGGGGCATCGACTATCCATTTTTCTTACTGAAAAACACAGCTGCTCCTCCTCATCGATCAGCTTCAAAAAGGCAGGCAGCACGCATTGCCAATAGGCCTAGTAGCAAGGGTAACAGTGTGCGAAGCAGACCCCGCGTGCAAAACCCTCAACCTTCGACTTTAACGTAACCTCAAGATGTACCCGAAACACCCAAACGCTGAACTCCCAACCCTTGAAAGCGAAATCCTCGGCGCATTGCTTCTGCTGAGTCGCTTTGCGCCAGCCATGTTCGCTCCCACTAGGCAAAGCATCCTGGGTGTCTCGACATGTTCGAGCGGTTCACATAGGGAGTGGAGGCGGACGATCACAAGGTTATTCAAGGCGTACTTCTGAATTAGAACTCAGGGCTAAGGGCTATACAGCATGCAGGATTAGGGAGTAGGAGGAACGTTCATGCGTTGGGTGCGAGTCTGTACTTGTAGGAGTTCAAGCTCCGGTGCTGAAGAGGCTCTTTCAAAAGTACCATTACTGCTACCTGCTGGAGCGTGAGGCCAAGATCGAAAAGACATGCTGCGCAACCACCCAGAGTGCGGAGGACTCGACCGCTGAATCCACCGAAGTATCCCCGCCATATATATCAGGCATCACAGGGACATGTTGGAGGGCTCCAATTTATGGATGCTTTAGCCTGCGTGAACAATGCCATGCTGAACAATCCTATGCCTCAGCATGTCGGCATGGCTCTCTGATGACATGCAGCCGACTTGATGAGCAGCATTACCAGTTTCATGAAGCCTCTGCTTCCATGCCTGAACCGAAGCATGGCTGAATCGACATGACATGAAGCTCTGGAGCTTAGAGTTGGCTCTTATAGATATGTCAAGATTAGATGTAGCTACGCTGCCTCAAGCATAATGATTATATCCCAAGCCCATCCAGTAGCATCTTCAGACCATCTGCTCCACTGGCTGAGAACGTCAGAGCCCACCGTGGTGTTCAGGGAAAAGCATGCTGCACACATCTCAAAATTGCATCTGCACGCATCCTGCTTCTGGTCTTCTTGATGGATGCTGGTCCAGTACTGGGTTTACGCAGACAAAGCAACCGATATAATGCGTTTGCCCGTCCAATGTACCTGCAACATGAAGCCCTACTGGGCTCAGGGTCTTTAAAACTCATCGGACTATTGTCAGCACAGGGTTTGGAACCTCAAATTTAAGGCATTATGGGCAGTTGCAAAACATGGTCGCCAAGGAGCCACTCGGGTGCGTTGAAGCCCCAAACGCTCACAGAATCATGGGGCTGCAAGCCTTGGAGTGTGAAAAGCAATGATCCGGAGGTAGTACCGAGAGACAGAGAGGGCTCCTCCCCCGAACACCCATGCATGAGAAGGATATTGGAAAATGAAGTCAGGAGCTGATGGCCTGGATGCTACACCAGGCAAACCCCATGCACATAGGTACATAACCGAAGCCACGCAGTCAAACGTGGAGCTGCGAAGCTGCAGCCCTTGGTCGAAGACAGTTTCCCTGAAACGGCACTCTTTAACGCAGGATGAATCAAACCAGGCTAGCCGCGAGCAACAAAAACAGCTGGACACGGGCACCGTCAATAATCATCCTTGACTCCAAGCTGCTTTGCAAACAGAACCTTTTGGAATCTTCACATGACATGCGAGTTTGGGCTTGTTAAGAGCGGCCTTCGGCACTCTCTACACCGTGGAAATCCATGTGGGTCCGGACCTCAGGGTCTGGAACGTGTATGAGTATGTGGCATGAACGCACCCACAAACCAATTTGTAGTCTGGAAAGCATTTGAAAGGCATGGTAATGTTATGGACCTGTGGAAAACATTCGCAGGCTACCTCACACCAAACCCTTGTATTACTGTTTACTGTTCCTTCAAGGTTATACATGGGTATGCACCCTTCTCCCCATACCCAAGTATCCCTCTGTCCATAACTCCCCATGAAAGGGCTCTGCAGGGTTCCCTAAACCCTAAACCCTAAACCCTAAACCCCTGAAAAAGGATGAAACTCCTTCAGGAGGCCGAGCTTGACAAAGGCTTTGCCAACTCTTCGAGCATCCTCGTAGTATCCCCTCCAAGTCCAGGTCATCCAGTCCTTAGCCACCAAAACCCAGAGGGTCCATGTACCCAATAATTAGGTACTTGGGATTTGGGTAATAGTAATTATAGTATAGGTTTTGGGTAAGTATATGACTATTAGGTACTTGGACCCTTAGGGAAAGCCAGAAAAGCTTCATGGGGGGAAACAGGCTTCAGGACAGTGAACTTGCAACGATGCCCGGATCCCTTACGAGCTTCTCCGACGGTCAAGCCGCAGCGCAGGTGTAATTTGTCATGGCAAGTTCCCAAATCTTATACCTGCACAATCCTTCATGAGAACCTCTGTAACCCCTCTGTAATTGTAATCCCTACAGATTCCTCGGGAATGGCCCCGTATTCAGATCTGGGTGGATATGTGACTCAGCCCGAAAGCACTCGTGAAATCACTGCAATCCATCGAGGTAAACTTTCAGGGGAAAACGGATGGCCTTCTCATAGTTTAGTTCCCGCCGTGCAGGCTTTGGAAGCTTGATCGGAAAGCGCTCAAGAACCCTAAACTTGCAGGATCTTAACCCAAAACCAAGCAAGCAGCGGTTAAGCAGTACAAGTAGATGACGCAGGGGTCCCCCTTAGGCAAACCATCCAGCTCCTAAATTGCAAGCTTGCGCTTCGCCACGTTGTTAACCATCCGCACTCAAGTGGGCGTTGGCAGTGCGATCTAGCAGCGCAAGCAACGATTACAGCCCTAGCATATCATTGAACTTTAGGTATTGTTGCTATTGACATTAAACTATGCCGATCCTTTCTCAGGCATGCGCCTCATCTGGTAGAGCGGGTGGTACTTTGCCATCCTTCTACAGGCTCCAAAATCACAAGCAAGGCCCAACGCAAGACAAGAACAAACAGCATTGCGACAACACCGGCAGGACCGACGGCCACGACGTTGACAACGGCGGTACCAAGCAGAAGATGGAGTATGAAAACAAACATAATCACTAAAGTATGGCGAGGACAAAGGATGCTAGGTGGTAGACATTGCCTAAGCTTCAAAACTAGACCATGATACCTTGTGTTGCATATGACGTCTTCTACCAAGCTAGGGCTTAGGCCACGCTGGCTGGAACTGCGAATTTGATCATGCTTCTTCAGAAAAAGGCAAGCTTCTCCTGATCTGTGCATTGGAGAGCCAGCTTATAAGGTTTAGGGTATAGGATTTAGGGGTAATGTCCAGGGGATGTTCAATGGTAGCTCCCATTGGCCGCTGTTATGCGTTACCCAAAGATGGACGACCTTTCTCTGAATTTCAAGCATGGAGAGAGGACCTTGCCCTCCTCTTAGCCACCTGAGCTGATAATGCCTACTGCTCGTAGACCCAGTCAGTTTAAGGCCAGAATGCTAGAAATTCCGCCTTTTCAGCGAAGCAACCCCCCCGCAATTGTCGTAAACCCAAGCCCAACCTGCAAAGCACATCATCGGCCTTGTCTTGAGGTGGCAGGGGTCGCTCCACCTGGAACCGCTGTCAAAACCATTCGGCTGAGATTTCCTTTGGGGGCTATGAGTGTCTAAAACCCAATTCTTGTTTCATCAAGTATGTAATGGCTCAGGCCTGAAGACTTTACAGCGGAAAGCTCGGCAATTTGTTGCAGCCCTGCCTCTTGTGAGGTAATATGTTAAGTGC